GCAGAAAAGGAAAAGGAGATGGGGGGGGGGCGGAATTGACAAGAGGGAGGGAAAGGCAACGCTGTCCATTGCCATGATTGACAGGTAACAGATTTCCCTCCAGATAAAACCTTACAGATGTGGAGTGGGTATTGATTTTTAGTTAGTGATGGTAATGCACCAAGAAGTAATAAATTATAGGAAAGCAAGGTCAAGAAAGGAAAGGTAAAAGGACTTTGCATTCTTAAGAAGGGGATTACTCCATCTGCCCTCAACTTCCCCAAGTTCAAAAGGTGGCTGGAAAATGAGTTGCACCAGTGGGCGTGAAATGCCAGATAGTGCTAGCCTGCCTCCAAGCTGGAGACCTCTTCTTCACCCCCTCTTGTGGAGGGTGGTCAACACTCGGTGGCTGATGTCAGCGGGGGTGTAAGAATCCAGGGTCCACCTCTTGTTATTTCTGTTACAATAGCATCTAGAGATGAGATACGGATCCCCAATGTACTAGGGCTGTACAAACACATAGGACGAGACAATCCCTGCCCCAACAAGCTCACAGGCTAAATAGACAAGACAGACCAAAAAAGCATTTCGCAGAGCTTCAGAACGATGCCGCTGTCTCCTCTGGGTGCTGATATGTTGGGACCCTCTTGGCTTCTAATATAATAACAGTAATTGCACTTCTGTACCCCAGCATCGTATGTCCTAGGATCTCAGAGCTCTTTACAGGCATGTCTGAATTCAGGATCTCGACACCCTTGTGAGATAGCATCAATCCCATTTTGCAATGGGGAAACTTTAGAGAGGTGAAGTGGCTTTCCCAAGGCGTCACAGAGAGCCAGGAGCAGAGCTGGGAACAGAGAACAGGAGTCCTGGCTTCAGCTGCATGAAACTCGGCAGTTGTTTGGTGCAGGCTTTTCTTAGGGTGACCAGACAGCAAGTGTGAAAAATCGGGACGGGGATGGGGAGGTAATAGGAGCCTATATCAGAAAAAGCCCCAAATATCGGGCCCGTCCCTCTAAAATCAGGACATCTGGTCACCCTCCCTTTTCTCCAGTTTCAACTCTCACAGGTTGGGATACTGTGGGCCTGAGTCTCACATACACTAAGACCACTTCACCTCACTCCATCTCGTCACAGGGCCCGACAGTGAGTGTAGACGTAACTGGCATCCACGCTGAGGCCCTTTTATGCTGCCAGAGTGCAGGTGAGGCTCCGCCCGAGCTTCACCGTATGGTTTTGAAAGCTCCTCGAATCCCTCAAACTCAAAGTGAAAGAGAACCGCTCAGTTCCACCTGGTTTCTACAGGCAACATCTCTGCATTTATCCTATGACCAAATCTTCACCCGTACAGCACTGCAAGGCCTGGACAGCTCACTAAGGAGTGCAGGAGGAGAGAGGAGGTGATATCTTAGCCTTCAGTCACTGAGCTATTGCTTTCCAAAAATAATGAACCACAGCCATTTGTGCACCCGATCCTAGCCATGAATTGAATTTAATATCTCAGTCTGGCCCCACGTATGCCTGGGACAGGTGCCCTAGATGTATGTATAATAATAAATAGCTAAGCCACTTGCCTCATTGATGATCAGTTCCTTCTGAGCCAATTCACCTAGTCATGAAGCTCCTGCCGTACCATATGAAATCAGGTTACACTAGACCAGCCAGCCTGCCAGCCTGATCCAGCCCGCCTGTTGTATTTAGATGACTTGCATGTCCTATTCAGATGCCACGTAAAGCAGAATCTCCGCGTCTGTTTAACGGGAAAAAGCCGGTTTCTGACCCTCGTGATGGTGAAGAACACTTCCAAATATGAACTGAAGGAAAACCAGTGCAGTGTCGCCTTCCTGAGTCTTCAGAGAGCCTGAAACAATGGCTCAGAGAGGTGTAAAATCCCCAGTCCCCTGTGTATCTCATTAGACCGTCAGACTCAAACGATCACACTTGAACGTCAAAATGAACTATTGCAGAAGTGATCATTTCAGCAGAGGGAATGTGGAAGGGGGGAGGAGGTTGGAAACAGGTGTTGCTGTAAGGAACATAGAGGGAAGAGCAGAGGAGAGACACAAAGACAAGGAAGAAGGGGAGAAAGGCGGGTGGGGAAAGAAGAGAAGGGAAGGGCAGAAATAGTAGTGGCCCAAAGAGAGACTTATTTTTCTACTGAGGGATCCAATAGTAACTAAAAGTTTAGTTAGCATTTAAAGGCCGGATGCTACCATTGATCCCATTGGGCATCTGGGCCAGGACTTAAAGTGGAATTTGGCCCTTTCCACCACAGGAGTTTGAAACCACTGCATTAGTCCATCCTGTCATCTGAAATCAGCTGAGCTCCCCGAGACTGTTAGAGTTTCGGGGGACGTTATCCACCTTGGGGCAAAGATGATAGAAACCCCTGGGATCCCAGGGCGAAGAGCCCCCTTTTCTGTATTGTACCTGGACTCAAAGGCTGCAGTATGCGTCTGGAGCCAGAGGGATGGCCTAAGAATATAGGACTTGCAATTCTGGGTTAGGCCAGTGATCTGTCTAGTCCAGCAACCAGTCCCCAGTATCAGCTGGTTCTGAGAAAGGTGCAAGAAACCCTGCAGTAGCAGTTATGGGCTAACCTGCTCCCAGAGAAACTTGCCTCCTAATCCCCAATAGCTACAGGCTGGCGTAAGCCATGGTGCAGGAGGGTTTACAGCCCTTTCCAAAAATGTTGTGGGAAAAGACGCTGACGTCCTCGATGATACATATGTGGACAGCTCCGTATAGTATGTACAGGGCTTTAGTAGGGATAGCACGTGCTGCTGGCTTTGTGATGCCCTGCCTCACACAGCCTGGGGCTGAAATAATGTGTGAGGAAGAGGAGGAACTCTGAACTCCCAGCCGAGTAGACCCCAGGGATGGGGGTTATACTGATTTCCCAGCTGATAAGCTGACACCCTCTCCAATCCCCCATCACCGCCTTCTCCACAGGGGTCCAGCCATTGCTGATCTGTGAATCCAACCCGCAGACAAATCCCCGAGAAGGGACTCAGCCTGCTCGAGTCGGGAGGTGACACTTCGTCCAGGGAAAAGGTCTTTGCTGGACTCCTGAGTCCTTCCAGGGGAGGGGGGGAAAGCAAATGTCAATCCCCCCCCCATCACTCAGGATAAGCTCCTGCCTTAGCGAGGGAGGGGAGGGGAGGAGGGCAATGGGGTTGAGTAGAGAGGGAAATAGCTGTTCTATGGAATCCCCCCTTGTGTCATTCCCTCTGCACAATAGCTCCCCAGGCCACCGGCAGGGGATAAAGGGCTTGTTCTGCCACTCGCTGGGCTGCAAATATTTTCAATTTGCCACTTTAATTGATGTCAATAAGGTTATGCTAAATGTGGAGATTTTCAACATTTCTGCTTTCGAGCTCCACGCTGGCTCCCGAGGTGACCGCTGCCCGCCCCCCCGGGCGAGCTGCCAGCACAAACGCCGCAAGCCTGCACGTACCCGGGGACGGGGGACGAGATCAGCCCAGATGCGTCAAAGATGCCTCTCCTCCCCTCAGCTCCTGGTCCTCAGCTCCCGGCCTGCAAACACTTACACACTTGACAACCAAGAGGAACCTCACTGATTTCAATAGGACTGCATGTGGTAGTAAAGTTTAAATTAATGGAGATATCCTATCTCCTAGAACTGGAAGGGACCTTGAAAGGTCATTGAGTCCAGCCCCCTGCCTTCACTAGCAGGACCAAGTACTGATTTTGCCCCAGATCCCTAAGTGGCCCCCTCAAGGATTGAACTCACAACCCTGGGTTTAGCAGGCCAATGCTCAAACCACTGAGCTATCCCTCCCCCCAAAAAGTCTGATGCTCTACCGACTGAGCTATCCGGGCTCCCAAGTTAAGCAGGTGCACAAGGGTTTGTAGGATCAGGGCCCCGGTTCCCAAACTGACTCGCTCCATCCTGGTCCCATTTGCCTTACAAACACCTCTCCTCTAACAGGCATTTTCTCTGCAAAATGAACCAACGGTGGTTACAGTCTCAAAGGGCTTGTCTATACTTACCGCGCTGGTTCGGCGGCAGGCAATCGAACTTCTGGGTTCGATTTATCGCGTCTTGTCTGGACGCGATAAATCGAACTCAGAAGTGCTCCCCGTCGACTCCGGTAATCCTGCTCGCCGCGAGGAGTACGCGGAGTCGACGGGGGAGCCTGCCTGCCGGGTGTGGACCGCGGTAAGTTCGAACTAAGGTACGTCGACTTCAGCTACGTTATTCACGTAGCTGAAGTTGCGTACCTTACTTCGATTTGGGGGTTTAGTGTAGACCAAGCCAAAGTGGGAAGATAGTTTAGGTGATGCCTTAATTTTACAGCCAAGGGTAATATTGAGATTGGCTGAGCTACCACCAGCAATTTAACACCCTTTTCTTTACCTGTGCTTTTGGAGAAGGGGTGGGCTTCAAAACCTGCTCTTCCAGGTTGGATCCAAAACCGGGAGCTTACTATTCAGATCTGGTTCAGATGGGAGCCCAAGATGGCAGAAATCTCATGATCTTTATTCTATCTTTATTTGACTTTATCCTCCAGGGTCTTCAAGCTGGCACCGTTCGGCAAACATAAACTGACTTAAAAGCCACCATAGATATTGGCTGTCACAAGACCACTTGGAGGCAGATCTAAGCATGCTCTCTTCGTGTGCCCATCAACAATGCTTTCCCCCTTTGCTTCCCCAGGTGATGAGCATCCTAAGCAACCCGAGCGGCGTTCCGCCACAGCCCCAGGCTGATTTCTCCATCTCTCCCCTCCACGGTGGTTTGGACACCACCAACTCCATCTCCGCCAGCTGCAGCCAGCGGAGCGACTCCATCAAGTCTGTTGACAGCCTCCCCACCTCGCAGTCCTACTGCCCTCCCACCTACAGCACCACCGGTTATAGCGTGGACCCCGTGGCCAGCTACCAGTATGGACAGTATGGACAAAGTGAGTATCGATCCCACCAGAGAGTCGGCTGGACTTAAGCAGAGTTAGGTGCGGGGCGGGGTTGGGGTAGAGGAACCAGCAGTCAGATGGGGTGTTGGCTCTGCGCTCAGGAATGGATTCCCACGGATGTCTGTACCAAGAATCATTCTTTAGGGACTAACCAAACAGACACCATCCCGCTCTCTTCGTGCTCTGTACAGGGTCCCCCACTCACTTGCCATCTATTGGAAAAGTCTGAATGAAAGATATTAAATAGAAATATCTATATTGTAAGAGAAGGAGGGGTACCTCCGGGATCCCTCTGCTTCCCCATCTCCTACTCCTGCACCCTCAAAGGCCCTACATCATGGTGACCCTGCTTCTGTCCAAGGAGAGTTAGACATGGCTAACATGACATCCCTAGCCAAGGGACCAAGCTCAGCTGCACAGACATTAGCCCACCAACCCAACCTGTCAATAAAAATATAGGGTGGATATCAACACAACTTGAATCAATCATTAGAAAAACGCATTTGATGCACACCACGGATCCTCAGCTGCCAAAACCTTCCCAGTCAAACAATTCACAGTCCCCTTCACTCAGTTCTGACCCAGCTACCAACACCCCCAGCATCTCTTTAAACTACCAAGGGTTTCGTCAGATAGATGTTTAAGGTGACAAACCCACTCAGCTTTGGGGCTTCCTCAACCGGAAGAGACTCATGCCAAACACACAGAGGTGGGATACGTGGCCACTTTGCTACTACACATGCAGCCCGATTGGGAACAGAATCCAAGCAGCAAAGAAACAAAAATGAGAGAGAGAGAGTTTCTCGAGCCTTATCATTATGAATTAGACACCCCGTCAGCAGGTACAGGTTGTGCAGGTAGGTTCTGGAATTTCGGGTGCTTTGAATGCAACCACCCCCCTTCCAAATTTGCATAGGAATTATTGTTGCTATGGCCTCAATTTGACCTCAAGGACAGGGATGGGTGGTTGGATGAATGGAGGTAACACGCCTTTCCCGACATTCAGAAATTGCTGACTGTGGAAATGTTACTACCATACTACCTGTCCCCAAATTCTCCTGAAACGTCCCTTCTGGGAGTCTCCTTCCAGAAATATTGACTCAGGATAGCATGGGAAATCGCCACCCAGTGGCCGATACAGAGGTCTTTTGAAATCGGTGCTGACGGGGAAATTGCCAGGCATGGGTGTGTTTCATAGGCGACATCATATCCAGGAATCCCAGCCCTGGTGGAATTGAAGTGGTCATTCCAAGCCTGGTGCCAGTTCCAAACCTTAATTCCTGCCTCCAGCCCACCATTTTCCTTGTGACCAAGGCAGGCCTGGCCCATCAAATCTCACTTATTGCCTCAGTCAAGAAAAATGCTGAAAGGGTGTGTGTGTGTGTGTGTGTGTGTGTGTGCGCGTGCGCGTGAGGGGCAAAGGGTTTTGTCTGGGAATCTGTGACTTCTGCTACTACCGCTGGGCAACACGGGGGATTGCTTAGTTTGGCAAAACCTTGGTTTGGGTCTAGGAAACTTAGAGATAGGCCAGAGTCAGAATCCAGGGTGCGAACACACTCAAACTGTTGTGAAATGTAGATCTGGACCCGAACCCAGCTGTGACTTATTTGAGCCCCCAACATTTGAGGGCTGGGGGAATGGCTCATCTCGGCAACAAAACCTGTGTAAGGCATTCTGAGCATCCTAGCTGGCCTCTGAGGCGAGGCTGGGGTCAAGGCTCTGCCGCCTGAGCCAAGGCTCACTGAAATCAAGTGGAATCTTTCCATGGGCTACGGATCAGGCCCAAAAAGACAGCGGTTGGGAGGGTCGGTTTCACCTCTAGAATGGCTGGGTCACGAAAACACTAGAGACCCTGGCAGAGGGCTCACCTGCGGGTGTTAAACTAATAAGTGTGTGTTGTGCGAGAGTGACCCACAATGGGTTAAAGGTGCATCCTCTTCCTCCCTAGCTCTCCAGCTTGCCCATGGCTTGTCCTCGGTGACCTTTCCTTCCATTCGGCCGTGGCTTTTTATTCCCCTCTCCGTCACAGCCCTTTAATGTCTTTAACTTCTATGGCTAAATGAGAACCGGCTGTGGTGGCAGACAGGATCAATAGCAGCTTCCCCCTCGCCCCTCCTCTTTTTGTTTTTAGGGAGCTTGATCTGCGACCCCTTGACCTTCCCCTCACTTCTGGATGCAAGGCTGGACACACGTGCTATTGATAAAAATCTTAAACAAATTCCAATACCATGTATTTCCAATAAAGATCCCCTCGGGCAGGACGTTAGTCACACCCCATGTGTGTAAAAAAAAAGGGGGGGGGGATAAAATTTTAAAATTTAAAGAAGGAGTTGAGAAAAGACAAGAGAAAGATCAAAAAGGAGAAGAGAAGAGAAAGAAACGCTTGTCTTGTTTTGCTGCAGGAATTCTTATTTGGGGCTCTCTGAAACCATCCGCTCAAATCCCTTGATATTCTTTTATTTGTCTCCCCTTTTTTGTTTCTGTCTCGTGTCTCCCTCTTTTCTGCAGAGTGTTTAGACTTTCATCCCATTTCAAAGTCTGGTTTTGAGCTTACGGTTCAATCCGCCGGGCTCGGTTTGCAGTGGGAACGTGTTCCGGTTTATTTCAATCAGAACCCGGGCTCCCAAACGTTCTGTGCCCAGCAGCAAATCTCGTACGATTGACAGAGTTAGACCAGATGTGCCGCGCTCCCCAGAGACATTCAGGTAGCCAGCCACAAAGGGTCCCTTCCTGTTGCCGAGGTGAAGGTAGGGTGAGACGCTTTTAACACACACACACACATGCACACACACACACACAACCTCCACCACTTCTTCCCATTGCTGGGAACTGGATTCACTCCCAGTCACATGAGCCAGTGAAGCCCAAGTGTTCCCCGCGTAATACTCCTGCCTTTCAATGGGGTGCTGGATGGCAACTGTGCCCACAAACCAACGTTATGTGTGTTAAGATGAGATGCATTTGAAGCTTCAATTTCCCTATCTATACATGATGCCCTGTGCAGGGCCTGCTCAGAAGCCCATTGACTTCAATAGGGTTTGGATCAGGTCCATAGAGAACACGATCTATCTGTCTATCTAAGAGATGCTGAGCACATGCGATTCCTGGTACAGTCAATGAGAACTGTGGGTATTCAGCACCGGCATACACACACCCTCCCACTCGTACACACACCTGTGCATTTCTTTTTGTTTTGATTTCCACTCTGTCTTAAACCAACTCTGATTTCTGGCAGGGAATGACCCACTTTGTGTGAACCCTTCCCAGAGGTGTAGAAAGGGATTGATGGGTGGCTTTTATTGGTTGGTTAGTTGGTTGGGTTGGTTGGTTTTTAATAATAATACCACCACATTTCTAACACCAAGTGATGACCAAAACAGGAAGAGCAACTCCTGACCAACCTTCAGAACGTACTAATTTCCCAGGAGAATTAATATTCCCAGCTCACCCTGCTTTTCCTCCCTCCGCAAGTACGTGTCAGAGCCCATGCCTTGCACAAATGTCAGCGTGGGGGGGGGAATATACATAAGGATGGATGCACAAAACCAGCACACACACACACACACACACACACACACACACACACACAGAGCATTCTTAATTGTATGGGCAATATGGCCATGTGTCAGGAATGAATGTGGTCTACTAGCCTACCTCACATATACACACCCACCTAACACACATGCACCGCAGCACAAATGTACAGGGCTAAGCCTTTGGACCAAGCAAACTAGGAACATGGGAATCTCATTCTTCCGGGATCTTCCATGCACCCCGATCCATCCCCCATTTCCCAGTCTTGTGGTCCCATCAGGCTCCCGTGCTGGTAGGCCACCTCAGGGACTGAACTCACGCTGCCCTTCACACCTCAATGTAACTTTATCCTGTGCCCGAGTCCATTTGCCGCTCACGTGTCCCAAGCCGTGAACACTCATACACAGAGGCAACGCACAGCATGTTCTGTCCCAGCCGGTGTGGAGCAGGGGTGCCAGATTAATGTGGTCCTTACCGTTCCCAGAGGCCGGAGCTATGCTAATGATGCCGGTGATGGAACGCAGAAGCGTGAAAGGAATTCTAATAGATATGACAAGTCTAATAAGAATTTGTGTCTGGAAGGGACCCCCTTTGGGGCAGGCATCTGACAAGATGTTGATGGCTGAAATTTGTTTACTCATTGGCACCGATGGTACATCTCCTGCCAGCTCCTTATTAATCTAATTTGAGACATTATAGCGAGTGAGAGGGAGAGACTTTGACTGAAGCTCTGCTAATGAGCGGTGTCACCATCCTGCCCTGTCCCTCTTCCCCTTCAGTCCATGGGGCGGTTTGTTGAGCTGGAACTTGGTCACAACTTGGGATATGGAGAGTCCCCGGATTACCTCGGGAGTTGCCAGTGTGTCTTCCATGATGATGATCAACAGAGGCTTCTCCCAGAAGGGGAGGAAGGAGGCGAGGAGTGAAACTATCATCATACAGTGTCTGGGTCAGATTCTAATCTCACTCACACTGGGCTAGCCCCATTGAAACCAGTGAAATAATTTACACCAGCGTAACTCAGATCAGTGGTGGGCTCTGTGGCTGTGAGGGAACACAGGGAGTTGAGCAGGGAGATCTCTGCGCTCACCCAGCGCTCCTACCAGCTGTCGTTCTCTTCAGCCTTCATCCTTAGGCAGCTACCCAGGACATTCCATTGTCTATGGGAGATGGGGAATTCTTGTGTTTTTCCAGACATTTTCACTAGGTTTGGGGAAGACGAGTGAATCTATAGCCACGTGTGCAAAGTTCTGTGAATGCAACAGCTGCATTTTGCTCCAGCAGGGCTTTCTCTTCTGTCAGGCTGCTCTAGCAGGTCCTGGGCCTATCCGTCTGTGACTCCCCTCCCATGGTGGGGGCCTGTGTGTCTGCAACTCTCTCTGCGACAGGGCCTGTCTATCAGTGACTCCTCCCCACAGCAGGGGCCACCTGTCTGCAACTCCCTCAGTGGCCGGGTCCGTCTGTGACTAACCTAGTGGGGCCTGTCTCTCTCCCCCAACCACCACAGAGGACCCCTTTGTGTCTGTGACGCCGCCTTCTCCACAGCGGGGCGTGCATGTCTCCATCTCCCTCTGTGGTGATGCCCATGTGTCTGTGACTCCCCCCTGTGGCAGGGCCTGTCTGTGACTGCTCCCCGTGGTGAAGCACGTGTGTCTACAACACTTCCTGCACCAAGGCTCATGGGTCTGTGGCTCCCCGCTATGGCCGGGCTCATGTGTCTGCAACTCCCCCCATGGCTGGGCCTGTCTGTCGGCGATTCCCCTTGTGGCAGGGCTTGTGTATTATCCTCTTTTAAATGGACGTAAAATGCCTCATGCCCCCCAAAGCCCAATCCTCATGCTGTGTTTTTTTTCCCTTCTTTTCCCCCCCAGCTGCTGTCGATTATTTGGCCAAGAACGTGAGCCTGTCTACACAGCGCAGGATGAAGCTGGGAGAACATTCAGCTGTCCTGGGCCTCCTACCGGTAGAGACAGGCCAGGCTTACTGAAGAGCCCATCTGTGCCAACAACCCACTCCAGCAACCTGGTACCACCACAGAAAACACCACCAGCAGCCTTCCAGGGTTCCACCTCTGCCCGGACCCCGCTCCTTTCCAAATCCCCACCACCCTGCACCAACTCAAGCTGTGAAGGAGATGGGAAAGAGGGCGGGAGGGCTCTCCATGTATCCAGTTCCTTACCGAGCACTCTTCTAAGACGCCAACCCAGCCTCTTCAACCGTGACTCCTTCTACGGCCAGAGACAATGGGTTGGATACATTTATTGACCCTAATGTTCATGCCCTCCCTCCAGCCCACCTGGTCAGCTTGGCATACTGCCCACACTTACTGACTTTCCATTGATCTCGGTAGTTGGCACAGTCAACGCTGAATTTCTTTTTCCATTGTAAAATATATTTTTTTATTTCCCCCTCTTTTTTATTGTAGTAACTTGGTGGATGTTGTATAGAAGGAGTAACCAAGCTGATCACTAAGGGTGATGCCCTTCGGGACCAAAAGAACCTTTGGACCAAATATAAGAAGGTGTTTAAAAAACAAATGAAAGTTACAGCAAACCTGTCCACCTCCCACGCTGCTGATAGGATCCCATAGCAAGGAAAAAGCAGGCAGGGATGTTGCTCAGCAAAGGTGGGATTCGATGGATGCTATAAATGCTCCAACCTGGGACCTTTGGAAAGGGTAAATGTAAATTGCTGAGCGGGGTTAGGAGAAGTTGGGGGCAGGTATGAGCAACACTCAGTTTTCCTCTTAGGGACCAACTAGATCCCGACAGGATGGTGTGGGGCTGACTGAAAACCACTTGCATCCCATAGCAGCAGGAGAGTCAGTAAGAAATGTTGGCGCATGTGCGTGTGGAGGGCTGGCATGGACAGTGTTTAGACCAGGTGGCGTCTGATTGATTGGGCAGAGTGAGAACTGAACAATGACCTTCCTTCGCTCAGCGAGTTTGATCCTGGCAGTGAGGGAGAGTGGCTGTGTATGTCGGCAAGGGAGGCACGCTGCCCAACGGAGCCTAGCTGGAGACACTTCAGCTTTCAGAACTGGGTCCTTCTGCTGCTAGAACATGACTGAAATGAAATGAGACTTGTTCTGAAGGCGCCTGTCAGGGAAGTCTCCCATCAAGTGAAGGGCTGAGTGACGAGTTAGTCGCTGGGATGGAGGAGGTGCATTAGCTAAGGCACAGTGCCACACAAAACTGGAGTGTGCGTCATGCACTGGGGAGACAGAGGGCTGTGGGAATGGTCTGACCACGACAGTCTGTCTCCAACTGGCCAGAGAGAGAGGGAGGCATAAACCCACATAATGCACCTATTTGTGCTGTGCTGTACGGCAGAGGAAAGACTCTTGTGCCCTTATGCACATAACTCTTTATTTCGCAACCTACCAGGATAAGTACTTGTCTCTTACCTTAAGTAACTCGTCCTTTTCGCCATCATCTGGTCCTTTTCTGGACAGGTTGATCTCTTGGTCCCTTCTCTTCATATTTCTGCGTTCTTTATTTTGGAGCTACATTCTCTCTAGGCCCCAGACTTTTTTTTGGGGGGGGTTCAGATTTGCCTCCCTCTTTTCTGTAGCATACAGCACTCTTTCCTCCGTACCAACCCATGATCCTCCTCAGCTCAATGTTCAGATAAACCCAGTTGGGAATTACAAGTTATATCTGAGTCATGAACCACATGGGGCTCATACCGTTTATTTATATGGTGTGGTAACAATCTTCACTCATCCCGATAAAAGGCTATAGCAGGTCCCTAAACATTTAGACGTTCTTCCCCCTTTGACTGCATTTAAATGGCTCACCTCCGAGAACAGACTTACTGTTTACTCATCACCCTGAAGAGGCTGGGGAAAGTTGCCATTGAAACAACCCATCCTGCTCCATTCCTTTAAATGATCTTGTGCCAGCCAGTGACTCATTTGTAAGGTCCAACGTTCAATGGATTGGCAGCAGATGCTGCATGCCGGGTCGGTCAGACACAACTTTCTGGTGTCAATATTGGACGTCCCTTCAGTGGAGTTGAGAGATGTGGGGGGACCTAGTTTCTGCCTCCCAGTGACAGATGATTAAAGGGCGGGTGAGGGGGCGGATTTCTTCCCTGTATCCTTCAGCTTCTTCTTTTTTGCATGTCCCTCAAACCATCAGTCCTTGTCTTTACACCTGAAGCAACATCTTCTGGGCAGTTTCAGGCTTTCTGGTGCCTTGCTCTTGGCTGCATTTTATTGTTAACCACAAAGTTGCCAACTCCCGTGGACACGGCATCCCACCTGGGCAAATTGCCAGGTCTTAGTCAAAGCAGATTTTTGCTTCATGTGTTGCTCTGTATTTCATCAGACACCATCCATGGCTTTCATCCAGCCCACTGCTTCACTGGGCTTTGTTGTTCCGAACTCCTGAAAGCATTTTAACACACAAGGTTCATCTCTCTTATTTATACACACACACTGCTGTTCAGTAGCTGGGATGCTGACAATTGTACACATAGAATCCTCTGCAATGATTTGTACAGAGAATCCAAATCCCTCCTTTGCTTGTCCAACTCTGCAACAAATAAAAGTGTGATTCCAGCACCTCCCCTCGACTCCGGGAGAATTTCCCGGGATCACAGAACTTCCTAGTTCTTGCATTTCACAATGCCATTTCCAAGACTAAATACTGCATATAAAGCAGGAGTTGATGAAGACAAGAATACTGGTTTCTTAGAGGTTACTGGCGAACTGCGATATGATAGACAAGAGGTGTTGCCCAAAGCTAGTGTGATAGAAAAGGAAAATGAGACTTATGTGCTTTTGGTTTGGATCTGAAATGAGGAAGAGCAACTTTTGAATCCCACTTCTGGCTTGACTGTCCCTCCCAGTAACTATAATAACATT